CCGGCTGATTTTTTTATTTATTGTAGAGATGTGGTCTCGCTGCCCAGGTGGGTCTCAAACCCGTGGGCTCAGGCAATCCACTCACTTCAGCCTCCCAAAGGCGCGGGATTACAGGCTGAGCCACCGAGCCCGGGCTTCTTCTCTTTTTTCCCCACAGCCTCGACCTACTGGGCTCAGGTGATCCTTCCACTTTAGTCTTCCAAGTACCTAGAACTACAGGCACACGCCCCCAGGCCCGGCTAAGTTTTTGATTTATTGTAGAGATGAGGTCTTGCCATGTTGCCCAGGGTCTCAAACCCCTGGGCTCAGGCAATCCTCTCACTGTTGCCTTCCAAAGTGCTGGGATTACAGGCATGAGTCACTACCTAGCTTTGGGTTCTCTTTAACCACCAAGCACTTTTCTGCCTCAGAACCTTTGCACAGGTGGGTCCCTCTGCCTAGAGTGCTCTTACTGGATAGCTGCTGCCTTACCTACCACCTTCTAGTCTCAAGGGCCACCCAAAAATCCTAGAGGTTTGGTATTATTCTTCCCACAGAGGAGGAAACTGAGGCTCAGAGAAGTCAAGTCACTTGACCAAGTTTATGCAGTTGGTTTTCCTTAAAATTCGTATTAAAGAATCCTAATTGGTCGGCACAGTGGCTCAAGCCTGTAATTCCAGCACTTTGGGAGGCCGAGGTGAGGGGATTGCCTGAGCCCACACGTTTGAGACCAGCCTGGGCAACTTGGTGAGACTTCATCTCTACCATATATCAAACAATTAGCTGGGTGTAATAGTGCATGCCTGTAGTTCTGCTACTTAGAAGGCTGAGGCGGAAGGATCACTTGAGCCCAGCAGGTTGACACTGAGGTGGCCATGAGCATGCTACTGCACTCCACCCTGGGTGATGGAGTGAGACTCCAACTCAAAAAAAAAAAATCCTAATTTAATTTGTGGTGGCTCAAGTCTGTAATCTCAGCACTTTGGGAGGTGGAGGAGAGAGGACTACCTGAGCTCATGGGTTCAAGACCAGCCTAGGCAACTTGGTGAGAACTCATCTTTTTTTTTTTTAAGTTGGAGTCTCACTCTACTCTGTCACCCACCCATACTGGAGTGCAGTGGCTGCTCCTGGCCACCGCAGCCTCAACCTGCTGGGCTCTGGCGATCTTTCCGCCTCAGTCTTCCAAGTAGCTGGAACTACAGGCGTGTGCTACCACACCCGGCTAATTTTTTTGTTTTTGTTGTAGAGATGAGGTCTCACCAAGTTGCCCAGGCTGGTCTCGAACCCGCGGGCTCAGGCAATTCACTCACCTCGGCCTCCCAAGGCGTGGGATTACAGGCTGAGCCACCGAGCCCGGCTGAGATTTTTCTACAATAAATCAAAACATAATCTGGGCGTGGTAGCTCACACCTTATAGTTCCAGCTATTCACAAGGCTGGGGCAGAAGGATCGCCTGAGCCCAGCAGGTCGAGGCTGCAGTGACCGTGAGTGTGCCACTGCACTCCAGCCTGGGCAACAGAGTGAGACTCTGACTCAAAAAAAAAAAAAATCCTAATTTAATAGGAGATACTCAACACTAAAACTAATCTTTTTTCCCAGTGGATTTTTTTTTCCTTAGATTATGAGGGTACAGAAAAAATTGGGCATTACTGAATGCTTGTTGATTGAAAAATAATGAAGAATTATCACAATGCCTTTTTTTTTTTTAGATAGTGTCTCACTATGTTATCCAGGCTGGTCTTGAACTTCTGGGCTTGAGCTCCTACAGGTATGTATCATTGCGTCCAGCCCTCACATTTATTAAGTACACACTTATGCTGGCATCATGCTTTCTCTCACTTAATTCTCACAATAACCCAACAAAGCTCTCATTTCAGGATGGGAGAGTGAGGTTGGGCTGGGTTAATTAACCTGCTTAAAGTTGTCCATAAAGTTGGGGGCCTGGGCCTCAAGTCTGAGTCCCCAACCTTGATGCAGTCCTGCAGACTGGCAAATCCACTCGGCTGTATTTGGAGATGTTTGTGTTCACCGAGCACATACCAGCTGACAAGCGAGGTCTGCAGAGTGATACCCGCCTGCACAGGCAAGATGGTCATTCACACGTTCATCCATCCATTCATTCAGTGGCCCTGTCTCTGTGCCAGGTATTGGGACCCAGGGTGAGCCTGACCTGGCCCCTACCCCCAAGGGGCTCAGGACCTAGGAAGGGAGGCAGGAGGGGGGATGCATGATTTTCATGTCATCAGTGCTATAACTGAGGTGCAGACAGAGGACCACAGAGGGTAGAATCCATGGAGGCTTTCTCCAAGGAGGAGACACGGGCCTCAAAGCATGAGTAGGAGAAACTGGTTGAATGGAAAGGGACCATCCCAATATTCATAGGTGTGAATATCACTGGGAGCTGTCTATATGCCAGAAGCTGTCCAAGGTGTCTTACGAGTGTGAACTCACTGACCCTTCCTATCCCTAAGGTGACAGGTACTACTATGCCCACATTATAGAAGAGGAGATGAAATCTTGCTATGTTGCCCAAGCTGGTCTCGAATTCATGGGCTCAAGCAAGCCTTCTGCCTCGGCCTCCCAAAGTACTGGGATTAGAGGTATGAGCCACCACATCTGGTCTGCCTCAAACTTTTAACATTTTACTTACATGGTTCAGACATCAAATTGCTATGAAAATAAAAACACTGTGAATTTCACTCCCTCCCCTTTTTTTAGAGTCAGGGTCTCAAATTTTTTAGAGATGAGGTCTCATTATATTGCCCAGGCTGGTCTCTAACTCCTGGGCTTAAGTGATCCTCTCACCTCGGCCTCCCAAAGCACTATGATTACAGGTGTGGGCCACTGCACCCAGCCAAGTTTCACTCCTAATTCTACTCCAGACTACTTTGATTCTCCTGCCAAGGGTTAACTATGGGAAAGGGTTCCAGAAACTTCCAAGAGGGCAGGAAACCACTTTTATTCACTCCTTTGTGTGTTCATACTGTTTACTGTTTCCTTATGCAGCTATAAGCACATAGGAATATGTGTTACTCCCCTACCTGTTACCCACATTCTGTTTTGTGTCCTGCTCTCTCTTTTCACTTAACAAAATAAATTTTCCCAATCAGTACACCGTTTTCTTTTCTTTTTTTTTTTTGAGTTGGAGTCTCACTCTGCTGCCAGGCTGGAGTGCAGTGGCAAGCTGCTGGGCTCAGGCGATCCTTCCACCTCAGCCTTCCAAGTAGCTGGAACCACAGGTGCATGCCACCATGCCCAGCTAATTTTTTGATTTACTGTAGAGATGGGGTCTTGCCAAGTTGCCCAGGCTGGTCTCAAACCCCTGGGCTCAGGCAATTCTCTTGCCTCCGCCTCCCAAAGTGCCGGGATTACACGGGAAGGTAGCATCGCAGGGCTGAAACTGTGTGGGTTCTGGGAGCAAAAGGCCTAGGTACAAATCCCTGTCCTGCTCCTCACCCGGTGGCATGACCTTGGGCAAGTTTTCAATCCTTTCTAGCCTCGCTTTCCCCTTCTGGGGGCATTGTTAGCCTCCTTATGTGCCGGGATTACTTTGGGAGGCCGAGGCGGGAGGAGCACTTGGGCCCAAGAGTTTGAAACCAGCTTGGGCAACACAGCAATACCCTGTTTCTACATCATGCCTAGCTAATACCTCATTTTCTTACTCAACTGCATAGTATTTCATCTTGTAACTATACCACAGATCAGCTGGCCTCTTACCATTGCACTCTTGGGTTGTTTTGGGTCTTTTTCTCTTACAATGAATATTGCTGTTCATGCATGTTGCATGTTGCATGGAGTGGATGGATCTGTAGGATAAATTCCTGTAATTGGGATCTCCAGGTCAAAATGATATTTTGTAGTAAAACAGAATAGATGCCAGGTGTAGTGGCTCATGCCTGTAATCCCAGTACTTTGGGAGGCAGAGGCCAGAGGATTGCCTGAGCTCGCGGGTTCGAGACCAGTCTGAGCAACTTGGCAAGACCTCATCTCTACAATTAAAAAAAAAATTAGCTGGGCATGGTGGTTCATGCCTGTAGTTCTAGCTACTTGGAAGGTTAAAGTGGAAGGATCACCTAAGCTCTGCAGGTCAAGGCTGCGGTGGTCGTGAGCATGCCACTCCACTCCAGCCTAGGTGACAGAGTGAGACTCCCACTCAAAAAAAAAAAAAAAAAAAGTCAGGCATGGTGGTACATGCCTGTAATTCTGGCTACTTGGAAGGAGGTAGAAGGATCACCGGAGTCCAGCAGGCTGGAGTGTGCCACTGTACTCCAGTCTGGGTGACAGAGTGAGACTCCAACTCAAAAAAACTAAAACAAAACCCAGAATAGAATAGAAGACACTAGAGCATGTTGCCTGTGATAAGATGAAGTACTGTTTTGTGAAACTTCTATTCTAGGTGTGTGTGTGCCTATGTGTGCTCTTGCTTGTGATGTAAAATGCACTTGTTACGGTGGGTCTATCTGGTCCAAACAGTTTGAAAACACTCACTCCTGCAACACGGGAAGGTAGCATCGCAGGGCTGAAACTGTGTGGGTTCTGGGAGCAAAAGGCCTAGGTACAAATCCCTGTCCTGCTCCTCACCCGGTGGCATGACCTTGGGCAAGTTTTCAATCCTTTCTAGCCTCGCTTTCCCCTTCTGGGGGCATTGTTAGCCTCCTTATGTCCTGACTTTGTAAACGTCAAATAAAACAGACAGGAGAGACCGACCACAGTGGTTCATGCCCATAATCCTAGTACTTTGGGAGGCTGAGGCAGGAGGATCATTTGAGCCCAAGAGTTTGAGACCAGCTTGGTCAACATAGCAATTCCCTATTTCTACAAAAAAAATGAACAAATTAGCCGGTGTGGTGGTGCTAGCCTGTAGTCCCAGCTACTCGGAAGGCTGAGGTGAAAGGATTGCCTGAGCCCAGTAGGTCAAGGCTGTGATGAACCATTACTGTGCCACTGCATACCAGTCTGGGCGGGAGAGACTCCCGGAGTGAGTAAAACTCAAAAAAAAAAAAAAAAA